GCAGCCCGTTCCCGCCGATGGTAGTTACACAAAGGTGATGCATCTGTCGCGATGTCCTTTTCCCCTCTTCTTCTGCCTCCAGAATTAGGAAAATGTTGTCTGGTTGTGGGGATGATTGCCGCTCCGGTTGTTCCCAGCGGGTATTTATAGGAGAGAGGTATGTTTTCGGAGCCGGGAATCCGCATCTACTGGAATGCGCAAAGGGCGGGGTTTGGGAAATCCGAAAGCATTGTATACGATAGCGCAGTAGGAGTATTACAAATGGAACATTGGGCGATTTCAAAGTGGTGCACGGCAAACAGCCCAACCGTGGAGGCGATAATGCCATATCAACAAAAGGCAAACCTTTGGATGGAAGCGAACAGGGCCTTCCAGATCGGCGTTTCGCTCGCGCATGCTTGTCTATTCATCGGACTTCCATCACCCGGCGAACCGTGTATAGTAATTACTAACGGTGTTACCCTCCCTCTCGTGCTATTCAAGCCCCCTCTTGCTTTCACACACTTGGCCAGAATCTCTTGAATCACCTCCTTTCACATTATTTTCAAGCCTCGTTATCATTGACGTTATCATTGATTCACTTTTAGTACAAAAACGTGCACGCGCACACCGATTGACAGCCACAAGCCAACCAAATGAAGATATGGCTTTGCCGGTACGACGACTCAGAGACCCTCTGGGTGCAAAGTTCAACTATTTTGTAGGATCCTTGATGGGCTAGTTGAATGACGACCCAACAGGGTCATTCATTACCAATGCGTTTCAGGACACAATTTCGTGATAGACTATTTGCTTGTTGGCTTGGCTTGTAGGTACAGTAGAGACAATATTTCGTAAGTGAATTGGTGACTGGGGTAAGAAATACTTGTCATTCCCCCTGCCTCGCCGCAAGTCGTTTATCTAAGAGGTTTCTAACATCGCACTTGTGACGACAAGTAATCGCGTGGGTGGCATCATCTCCACACGAATCCTGGTCGTGCGTTGCCATCGGGATAAACTTGCACGAGACACAGTTGTGAGCACAGGCTTGCTACCTCGGCCTCACGTGTTCATTTCATTGAAGCAGCCTTTGGCAAGAATAAACTGATGTTTTAACAGACTACGATATTTGTCGCCAGGGAGACAACTGGTATTCCGAACCTATTGTAGATAAAATATACCCACTTCCAATCAATATCCTGCCTACTGTTTTTATTGGTGCCCACTAACGTGTGTGTGGGGTGAATCTTCATTCGGTGGCAAACCCAACCAAGAGAGCATCGGGCTTTCTAGGCGGGTGGAAGGCTGGAGAAGGGATACGTCGGCCAGTGCCTTTGATGGAAGACGATGATGTTTGCGGGCCTGCCGGTGATTCCGATTTCCAAGGCCGGAAGAACAACGCTAAAAGTGTCGAAGAGAGCCCAGAGGAGCGGTGGATGCGAGAGAGGGACGATTGGCTCTTCGGGAGGTCAGTTTCACCTGTTGAAGATTGTCAGAAGCTTGCACTGTCCTTGATCGGAGTGAATATCGGTTCGGAAATGTCCAGGCAATCGTTGCGAGAGAGAATGGTTGTGAGCTCGTCTTGTTCGTCCAAATATCGGTAGCCGCCTCAGTCGCGAGACAATAGGTTTCTCTATTGTACTACTGTAAATAGAGACGCATTTTTTTTACGCCTCCCACCGCAAACGGTATTATCTCGGTACAAATCAAACCATGGTGCAGCCGCCACACACAGTCTGTGTTTAATGGTCATCTGATTGGTGCGGCCAATGTCTGCAAAGCCCTGAAGAGAAAGACCCTCGTGGGCGGCGAATGTGAACAGGACAGTGACGGAGAACACAGGTGGTCTGCCTCCCACGCCGCCCCTCTCTCGTGCATCCGCTTGCGGCGATGGCTCCGAGGAACACAGCAGTCGGAAGAGAGAGAAGGAAAACGGTGAAGGGGCAGGGCGACACGACAGTGACAGCGTTTGTGCGGGAATGACCGACGAGGTAAGCCCGGCCTTCGGTCTGTACGTTTCGGGTTGTTCTTCAAGTAGCTGACGGCGTACGTCCGTGTGAAACGTCGCTTGCTCACGTACTCAATGATGAAGAGTCACCACCAGGATTGGGTCGAAGTTCCAGTTTCATCCGCCAGTGGCGACTTTCAACGAACTGGATTTCACGGTTCTCCGCAGGAGGAGAAAGGGAGCGGTCGGCGTGGGTCAGGCAAAGTCGCGCCACACCTTGGTTTTTCATCATCTTGTTACTCCGTGACATGCTCCAACCAAATGTTCCGGTTTATCGTACGCTGCGGGAATAATTTTCACTGCGAGAAATTGCAACTACCGGAGTAGCCGCGTGCGGAGGGTGTAAAGCACTGGTGGTTAATTATGAAATGCGAACGAAGGCCCTCACGAAGAAAACCGAAAATAATGCACAACCAACCATAACACCCGATTCTGCAGGTGTTTTTGTTGCAGGAGCGCATGCAAATGCAAAGCCACCTGGAGAAAGTTCGCGACGCGGCAAAGGTGCGCCGCTACACGGAGAAGTGGTTCAGGTTCTCCAGCGACCCTCCAGACACAATCAGGTGGAAGAACAAGACTCCAATTCCAGAGAAGTCTCGCTCCTGTGTTCACGGTACAGTAACATCAGATACGAATATCCGCCAAAGAGACGACGGGGGGAACAGGAATCTGTGAAGATGCGGGTGGTCTTCAGTAAGATGAGGGTGTCAATACAAGTATATATTTTGGCTCCCATTATTGAAGCTGTCGTCCGCCCCTCTGGCCCCTATCCTCCACTTCGACCAGCTAAACGACCCAACCGGGGTCACATCGGAGGGGGGGGGGGGGGACCCCCTCCTGCGGTTCCTGCCTGAGATATGTATATCGCGAGAAGGGTACAGCGATTCCTTCCCCCGCGACTTATGAAATCGATCAAGTTTACTAACAGCGAGCTTTGCAGCGCGTCGCTTCCAACGGAGACCAGGATATTATACGCGAGAAACAACTCACTCGGTCGGGACTCGAACCCATGACCTGGCCCTTAGCAGGCTGCGAGGCTACCCACTAGATCATATGTGTCCGCCTGGACAGGGTTAGGGTGGGGACCATGCTTTCCACCAACCATCCCGTGTAGTTTCAAAATCGAGCTGTTTAGTTAGGCTCACCAATCGCGAAATCCTACATTTCACTTCCATTAGTCCCATCTGTCGCCGCCCGATAATTCGCTTCCTGTTGAGCGGGAGCATCCAGCACATTTTTCGTTGCCGTGTCACCAAGTGGTAATATCTCCAATCCAGGGTCGTCACAGAGGACGATAGCCTCCACGATATGCCCTTCACTGATACATTGCAGCCGCTCCTTTGGTGTATGTCGACATCGGTTGAGAAAGAGTCACTTGTCACGACAACATAGAAGTGAGGTGGCGCCGTTGGCATGTACCTGATCGAAGTTTGATAAAAGTACCCATTGTGGACAGGCACGGTGATGTCCCTTGGCTACCGAAGCTTTCAGCCCTAGGCGAGTGGAGGGCATCGCTCGGGCGAGGCGTCTTTCCGGGGGAGGGCAGCAGCAGAGTAGGGGCCAAGGGACTACTTCAGGACGAGCGGTTCGAGACGCTTGGGGTGAATGAAGGCGACTCATCAGATATCAAGAAAGTACGTGATCTTGCGGTGTATCTTGTCTGGTTGTAAGCTGCTAAGCTACAATCATTTGGCCTTCGCACAAAACAAAACATGAATGAATGTATCCTCTCCAGTCACACCGCGAAATACAGCATCGTAAAACCCCAGTCAGAGAGAGCGTTGAGCTTAATGAGAGCAACAAGGAAACCCATCGACTTTTCGAGTTTCAAGTTCTTGTCATTCAAGGGTTCAAATTTCAGAAAACATTTGCAGCGTTGGTCGCGTTTGAGGTGTCAAGGTCATAAGTCTACATGAGAACTATTTTCGGCTTTCACAGCTTGGGTCTCGTCGCTCTTCGATTTCGGGGAAAACTCGTGAAGAAAGCCTGTTTACCCGGCCTGTAGAAAAAACGCAGTAAATATATTCACCGCTGTTTCTGCTGCTGCTACTTCGGTTGTCGGAAAATGCTAGCAGTGCAGTGCATGCGTATACATGGTACGAGAAGATCTTGACTTGGAAAGGCTCATCAGATGTGGACGTGTTGTCAAATGCCTCAAGTTCATGTTAGGCACGTTCACACAAATAATGTTGATGAGCACCAAACCTGTTCAAGTTGTGCGTTTATACGGTTTGCTGGATCCACGTCGGAACAAATCGAACAGGCGGCTCTGAGGGCGGCAAGCCTCCGCTGGCACCCGGATAAGTTCATGAGTAAGTACGGCCCCAGGATCGCCTCCGAAGATCGAGCCAACATCGAAAAGGTACACCGAGACGCGGAAATTTTTCGTTTCTTGCTGTACTGTCCAACTCCTGGTCGGTTGGGATGTTCAGAGAACAATTGGGTCATCAGCAGTGCTGCGCAAGAAAGACTATTTCCCTATACAGTTACGGGTGGTGTCACATTCACTTCGCTTTGAAATCATGCCCACGAACGGTTGCGCTCGTTTTGGCCATATAGCAAAGAAACCGCACGCACTGCTGTACGTATGCATGTGGGCGGCGGTAACGTCCGTACGTAGTGGACCAGATGGACAAAAAAAAGAAGCCGAGGATCGCAGAAGAATTCCACAGTATGTACCCGAGGAGTGACGGTGCTGGGCACAACAGTACGTGCCTCACGAACGTAAGACGATTAGCTCTGTACTGTGTAGAGACAACCCGGCGAGGGGAGCACCACGTGGTCAACAGAGCGACACGTTGTACGTTTCCATCCCTGGATCCCGACAAACTCTTTGCTCAGATTTTCCCCCGAAACCGAAGTACTCGTTTCTGTGCGTCAACCGGATTACTTCGCGCATATCTCTTTTGCCACATGTGGGTACTTCGCCTTGTTCCGAAGTCCAATACCGCAATCGGCGCCTCAAGGTCCGTAGAAGCATCCACGCCATTGCCTTTTGTCGATCCTTCACATCAATCAGACGCCCATGGAACAGAACATTACTATAACATACGTACGTCAAAGCTTTCGCCCACACGTATCTACGTACGTACAAGTTTGGCTCACACGTGCTTCACCCCCTCGTGGTGAACGCCCGCGGACATACGGCCAATCTTTCATGCCCGCAGGATGTCCAGGCAACGATGCACCGAATCACGAAACTCCGGGAGCGGCTTCACAATCAACAAGGGGACGAAGTGCTGCACAACAAGCTTCATTGATCACTCATCCTAGCTGACAAAATAACACAATGAATTCACCTGGCCAGGAAGGCCAGCACCTTAACATGCGAGAGTGTGTATGGGTACTAACCAAGTCAAGACCAACACTGTGAATAGTGGTCACCCCAAGTTCGAAAACGGAAACGCTTGTTCACTCGCGTGCTTTGTCGGGGACGTTGGAAATGTTTGTGGCGGCTGTTTGATTAGTCATTTGGGCGAAAGGACAACAAGCAGTGAACGGGTTGAAGGCACAAAGAGCTCTGAACCAATTCATTCCTCCCAAAATGATCATGCGTGATCCACGCGCCCTCACACTCAGGGTCCAGTTGAAAGCGCATCCGTCATCACCCCGACGACATCAGCACGCGGCGGGTGCAATCAAAACCGCAAAATCAGATAGATGCGTGCCACAACATTGAAGCAGGAATGAAAACAAGAGGAGAGCCCCCACCGGAACAACAGCCATGGAGGAGAGCAGTGATGACAGGCCCGGAGATGTCCCGAACGTGACTGGCATAGCGTTGCCCCGCACGATTCAGCAGCGGCTGATACCCCCGCGAAAACAAACAGCGATCGCTGACCGCAAACAAAGCAAATTTAACATCCTTCGCAAGGACGACACTTCGGCAAGGATCCACACAAGGGAGAACAATGTACATCAGAATGAAGACATCCATCACACGAGAGACAAGTCGCCCGACAGTCGGACGGCCGGATGCCAAAACGATCTTGAATGTGGCTTTGACAATTTGCCGAACCCGCTACTTCGCGCCAGTGCCTTACGCAGTAAGTCGACAACACCCAACACGAAGAAAGAAACGCCTTCACTTCCATGGCGAAGGCTTCAATACTCAACGACAGGCAGGTACGTCACAAAAACCACTTGACAAAAAGTTGAAACACGCACGCACGCAGCAGCAGCAGCAGCAGCAGACAGAAACACCAGGCGAGCATGGATACGCACCCATGTTATCGACAGCAGCAATGAAGATCTTGTCATGAACGAGCCGTCACTGCTGTAAGGCACAACCACAAAGCAACGAACCAAGGATGGCCCCCACAGCAAGCTACAATATTTGGTACCTCGAGACTCACGAATGGTCTCGAAGATTCCGACGCTACTCAGCAAATGAAGCAGAAAACACCCCCATGTATTTCGTATTTGGCATATGTATAATATTCCGAAACATCAATCGCTAACAACAACTGCGCGCCCTCTATCTCACCGCAGGTGGACTATGAATGCATGTACTCGCCCCCCCCATTTAGTATATCCCGTTCCCTCCGTACGGTGAACTGGGAATAAAAGTTGTTCGCGCCTCCCGCCGACCCTCCATCGATCAAAATATCCCGTCCCCTTCTCCGAATATTGCGTGGACGCAGCATGTTTCTACCAAACCCCGGAGAGTGGTCATCAAGTCCGCGGAGGAAGTACCACCGTGCACCTCTCTTGTTTCATCTCTCGGTTGGCGCTGGTCTAGGCGTCATACGACCGACGTACACAGAACAGAACTCCAACAATATCACACAACAAATCGGCGCGCAGCGGGACTAGTATTTTTTCGCTCACCTGGCAGCCCACATCGGCCCATAAATGGCATCTGCCTCTCGTCTCTCGTGGGGCGAGAGAAGCAGCGCTCAGATCGCGCCGCACATTCAACAAGAAAAAGCAGCTAACGAAAACAGCCAAGAGAGGGAAGGAAAAAGCGCATTGCCGCCCTCAAGCAATAGCCACACTTGTTCTCCCGACACACACGCGCTCGCCCGCGATACGGCCGCGAGAATTGAATTGAGACACCGGTCGCACATACGGGCTCGAAACCGAAGCCGAGGAATTAAAACGGGCAACTCAATAAAAAAACCACCATGACTAATATTATCGGCGTCGAGCTCCCATGCCCCCTGTACCCTCGACCTTCACTGCATGCCTCGTGACTAGTATACTATGACAAGAGAGACACAACGCTTTCAGTGCGCCGAGACCAAACGGCACAAGTCGGTCGCAGACAAAAGAGATTTGGTATGAAAGGGCAAACGCGGCGCACGTCGTACAGAAAAAAAAAACACACACACACAAACAGAAAATGGCTAATACACACGAGGGCGCTCTTTCCGCCTGTAGCTTTTCATCCTAAAGCATCTGAGCAACCAAGCGCCATTAGCGGGTGGCCGAGTGACGGGTGCTGCATCACCGGTTTTCGTTCTCGCTCCACAGTTAGGGACCCTCAACAGCGACAGCAATGATAACGCGTGGATCACACATCTTCTCCCTCCGAGACATCGTCCATGGTCCCCTCGCCCCCTGTCTCAACGGAAATATTGAAATGAGAACCATCATAAGAACCACGGGAAAGCTGCTGCTAGGGGGGGCGGGGGCGGGGGCGGGGGCGGGGGCGGGGGCGGGGACCTGCTTCACAACCAAGGCCACCAAAATCCTAGCTTGTCGCCACAGCGCCAAGAAGCAACAACAAACGCGTGCTGAATGAACGTTCTAAATAGCCGGTCGCCCGCAGCGCCCAGAAGCAGCAGCAAACGCTTGCTAAACGAAGGTCGTAAACAGCTTGTCGCCACGGCGCCCAGAAGTAGCAACGAACGCGCGCGCCCGCGTACGCAACGGGTAACGGCAACGTGTGCATGTAGTAGGCTACAGGCAGAGGCTGATGCAACACGCCACCAGCGCTTCGTCAGATTCGTCTGAGCATTGGTCGCTCGATGCGCTTGTTCCGTCCGGACACGAGATCGTGATCGTGCCTTCCGTGGATTTTTCCGCCTGTTCTCGCCGCCATCACGCATGTCGGAGGCACGGATTGGGCAAACAACGTGGCGGGGGGGGGAGGGGGGGGCTTCAGGGCAGCTTTAGCACGAACGGATGCCCAGATGTTGGGGAAGAAGACGCACTCCCGTGGGTGGCTGAACAACATCAGACCGTTGTTCGAAAGGAGAACAAGCAACAGCAACAGCAACAGCAACAACAACAACACCTCCTCAATCACCATCACCCCCTTTTCTCTATTTTATTGTTTTTATGTAAACACCCACCTCGAATCCGACCGTGCTGCACTCGTCGCAAGCCCACCACGGGCTGTCCCCCGGCGGGAATTCCACGCACGAGATGTTCTCGCACCAACCGCACCACTCGGCGGGATCCGACCTCCCGTACAGTAGAGAGAGCCCGAGGATCATCAACGTGGGCACAGCGACCGCCGCCACCAGCTGGAGGCTTACCTGTCGCGCGATGAAGCAGGTTCGTCGTAACCGCGAAGTGGGTGTCAGCGCCCGGCGGGGAATGCAAGCCACACACAAGAACCGAACGAACGTCACAACGACTTGTGTTATCTTGTGAAGTGGCTGCTGATACAAGCGGTACTCTGGTCGGTGGACGACAGGCCAACTCAATCGACGACCCCGAGTCGAGCAGGTACAAGGTACAATGGAAACCTTGTGCGCAAACAACAACAATAACGGCAACAACAGCAATGACAACTACCACCACCACAAAGAAGACCAAAACAACCACCAACAACACCATAACAGCAAAAACAACCACAACGACCCTGCCAATTGAACCGACGACCACGCCACTCCGCCAAGACTCATCAATCATCAACCAGGCGCCGTAACCCTTGCCTGGTAACACTTCTTGTCGAGGCGGTAACCACGGTCGTCTTCCCTCTTTTGCACCAGCAGACCCAGGCCCATGAACAACCCCATGAGCATGCCGCCGCAGTGGGCGAAGTTATCCAAGTACGGCATCAGGCCTAGGATGATGTTGACCGCTGGTCATTCCGTTCCGATAGATGGCGAAAAAAACACGCACACACACAGCGCGAAGGAAGGAGAAAACAAGCAATCATGAGAGAAGCATACAAGAATCGGGCGGAGGATGGAGAAAACGAAGAGATGACGAGCGAAACCAGACAATACCACGGACCGAACCGGCGCCATTACTGGCGCCGCAAGCGGTTTCGCTGTGAAAAAACCGCCACTTGAACATCGGTTCGGTACCAACACCTTCTGCAACGACAACAACAGCACCAGCACCAGCACCAACACGTCTTAGGTAACGACACAACCAAGGCAACCAAGGTCCTAGCTTGTCGCCAGAGCGCCAAGCAGCAACAACAAACGCGTGCTGAATGAACGTCCTGAATAGCTTGTCGCCCACAGAAAAAACAAAACAAACCCCCACCAGTGAGAATGAAGAGAACGGTGAACATCCGGCATCGGTCCTGGTTAACGCTCCAGTTCTGCCACAGGTCCGCCCACAGCGCTCCGAATACCCCGAAGATAGCCCCCGAGGCTCCGACCATGACCTGCGTCGGGACGAAGATCGCCGAAACTATCGTCCCGAACACCCCTGCCACCAGGTAAATGCACGCGACCTGTCGGAGGGCGAGAAGAAACCGGGTGGGGGTAGTAACCGTCTGTTAGGGTCAAGACTCGGCGGTGGCGCGCAGAGCAGTATATTTTACCCATCTTGTTTGGACATTGGTTGAACAACCGTTTGGATCCCTTCCCGGCCCTAGCCTCCAGTTCTCTTGGTGCTGCCTCCTGCTCACCCCCCCCCCCCCCCCCCCCCCCCCCCCCCCCCCCCCCCCCCCCCCCCCCNCACCCGCCAGCGCAAGCTCGCTCTGATTATTGACCGGCTTGCGTTACATTGGAACCTTTCGGCGCCCGGTCCGCTTTTCAGCTCCCCCCCCTCCCTCCAAATGGCCGAACAAACAAGTTTTTTGCGTATAGGAAATCTATCAAGCACGGAGTAGCTAAGTGGGAAACGGCAACCACAAAGGCAGCCAGAGAGACAAGCGCCTCCCCAAGATGCAAGGAGCAACGGCGACAAAAGACAGCATCAGCAGCGGCAGCAGCAGCAGCAGCAACAGCAGCAGCAGCAACAGCAGCAGCAGCAACAGCAACAGCAACAGCAGCGGAAACAGCAACAACAGCAGCAGCAGCAGCAACAGCAACAGAAGCGGCAGCAGCAACAGCAAACACCGACACCAACAGCAGCAAGGACAAGAAGCAGGCACAAAGACACCCACGACAACGACAGTGCCAACAACTCTCACCCGCCACCACCCGAAGACCCTCTCCACCATCGCCCCCACTTGCAAAAATCCCAGCATGTTGAACAAGAAATGTACCACGCCCGCGTGCAGGAACATCGCTGAGCGGGGGGTTTCACGGAGATACATGACACACGCGAAGGGGGTGGAGGACGTTACGACCCAGAGGAGAACAGGGGGGTTATCGCGTCCGGTTCGTGAAAGAGGGAGGAATTAGCGGCATTCGACTACCCTATCAGATGAGTACCACGCACCCCAGAGCAATTCCACAAAAGAAGCACCTGCATTGAAACCGTGCGAAATAAAAAGGCAACAAGGACGCAGCGCACCTAGCGAAAAAACTACCAGATGCAAAATGACACATGTGCACACAAGAATAACCAAGTATCAACCACCTGTAGCGCAGGTGTTGGAAACATAGCAAGCCTGCTATTAACCGAGCGGAAGCCACCCGCCGCCTGCTGAAACCTATCACCATTTCTCAACGAAAGAGCCCCGGATCGGAAGCCACACACACGAGTCCAAAGAACTTCGCCGTGGTAGATGTAGATAGAGATGCACGCCCCAAACACATGTCCATCAAAATCACGGAACCTCTTTTCAAGAACCAAACCGAAGCCCGGGCTCTCCAGGCTACACTAAATGCCGCTGAATTCAACTGTATTCAGGAAAACTTACACGGAAAATGCAATGGTCGAATAAAGTGTCGCCTTGTGAGTGTACTCCTTGTCCAACTGCTACTGATAGTTTTCATCGCACGACTCCACACAGAGCAACACACAATCCATCTCACGTGAGACAAGTCGCCACGATTAAAGTTGTCAACGATGAGAAAACAGATACCCCCCAACCAAAAACACGGAACCCCCTTCAAGGACCAGAGGTGTCCAGGCTACCAAATACCACGCTACCAAATGCAGCAGCACACATCCACCTCACGTGAGATGAGTCGCCACCAGTCTCCATTGTCCACGATCAGATCCCCCCGCTTCGCGCCGGCATCGATGAGGGTCTCCACGCTGGGCCCGTAGGAGGGGTTTTCCTCCAAAGGCTCCGCCACCCAGCCGTTCAGGCCGAACTCCCAGAACAGCAGAATGAGGCAGATGAGGAACATTAGCGGCGTGAAGATCAGGCTGCGGTAGGAGGGCACGGCGTATTCCCCGGTGGTCCCGTTCTCGTTTCGCGGCCTATCGTCGAAGGGGTCCCCGTGTGTTCGTTGCGCCTGTTGGGGGAGGGGGGGGGGGGGGGGAC